GATGTAGGACTCATTAGACGAATCGTGATATAATATATATAATATTATTTTTGATATCGCATCACCCTTTTGCACTCAGCACTACAAAATCACACAATTCGAGTAAGGCTTTACAAAGATATCTACACCCACCTCGCCGCGTAGACTGCTGAACTCGCACACATGCAAACGTACGAAGACATGTGATCAATCCACGACGTACATGCTACTACTACGAATAATGTAAGTTTGTATTGGTGCATGCGTACTCTCTACTACACCAATATTGCTTCTCTGACAAAACTGAGCGGTTCTCTGCTGAACACGCCGAAAACCACCAGATCAACGGTGGGGTCCACTCCCGGACAGTCGCCCCCGGCCGACTGCATTCAAGTGCTCCGCAAAAACCATGATGTCCTGTGGCGTGGGTACTCAGGTTGGCTAGATTCGCAGCACTTTCCCGGAGGCATGCACAACTAGGTCGACCAACAGACAGCAGTCGGGAAAAGACTCATGAACTGTTGCTGTGGAAGGTGTCATGAATGTCTTAGTCACCGGCAATACCTACGTCCGTGGACACTTAGACGTTGTCGGGAACTGTGCATGTCGGCCGTGTGCAACCATGCTTCAAAAGACACCTTTCTCAGAACGCACACATGGCTCCGCGTGGACACGCATGCAACAAAAGTGGTACGCGATCGTACGGAATCATAAGCATGCCAGACATGGGCGGAACCAGCCTCCGACGGAGCGCCCAACCCCCGCCAGCAACCATTCTTGCCCCGCAAGCCTTGTCAATAACTCGTACCAAGCCACGACGCAAGCACACACTCCTGTAAACCTTTTCACGCACACACCTCCCGCATAATGGATGTCGCGTTTCGTGCGCGTCCCCAATTGGCCTTCTATATCTACTTTAAACATTTCAATCTTGCCGCACCACCCGTCCCCCGAGCATCGCCAGCGGTACGGATTTGCGAAAAAAATACTCTGACTGCCACTTACTTTACAATTCTCTTTCATTATTTGCCTAGCGGCACGGATTTGCGAAAAAAATACTCTGACTGCCACTTACTTTACAATTCTCTTTCATTATTTGCCTAGCGGCACGGATTTGCGAAAAAAATACTCTGACTGCCACTTACTTTACAATTCTCTTTCATTATTTGCCTAGCGGCACGGATTTGCGAAAAAAATACTCTGACTGCCACTTACTTTACAATTCTCTTTCATTATTTGTCCTCCACAACCTATATTATCTTACGAGGGTGCGAAAAAAACATTGTGAGCTCACTATAAACCCTATTTCACCAAACCCTATTTCACTCAACTCCACGCACCCGCCTTCAGCCCGGAAAAACCGCTCACAGCAAGTGGATGCCCGGTCAGGCTCGCTTCTGGAGTCGAGGGCTCGAAAAAAACCTAACGCCGAGACGAGGGCTACGATTGAGCCAACCACCATCCCGGCGCCGCTGGCCGCCCGTTTTCGCCTTCATGTTCAACTCCCCTTTGCCCCCGCTCAACACGCGACACAAACCCGAAGGGTTGAGGCGAGTCAAGGGCCGCGCAACGCCTTTCAATCGCATAGAAGACCATGTTCACACCACGCCACCTATTAAATATGTTTTCCAGAGCCAAAGATCTCCAGATTTCACGCAAGAAATATCATGGAATTTAGTCTTTGTTGTGTGCCATGATCTCCGTCATAGGCCACTCCGTGCCCTAGTACCGGATATCTTATGTATGCAACTGCATGGGATAGATTCTATCCTGTTACACCCTTAACGCTTCGATTGTCTCGTCGTAGTAGCCACAGAAGAGGGCCGGTTCGGCAACGCGGCCACCACCGCGAGAGCCTGACGGCGCTGCCCAATTACACCCCGAGCCCGGAGGCAAGGCCGCGCGCGGCGGTGAGCTCGGCGGTAGAGGCCACCGATGCCGGTAGCACCGGCACAAGGCGATCCCGTCGCCGATCTCCTACTCCTCCTCCTCCTCTTCGATGACCAATCGCTTGTGCTTGCGGCGTGCCGCCGGGGGGAGCCGCTGCTGAGGGGGTTGCTGCTGCTCCCGCCGCCGCCGCCGCTGCCTGGAGTTGTGCGGCGGCGGGGACCACACCGCTCCAACCCCGTCGTCTTCATCGCACACGTCCCCGCCTCTGCCTCCGCCGTCGCCGACGCTTTCAGCCACCACCGTCGTGCTAGGGTCAGATTCATCTGGGACAGAAGGGACGATGGCATCCGAGCCGTGGTTGGACGTCGCGTCGGCGCCTTCGACTGCTTTACTTTTGGCTCCCCAACTAGAACCAAAGACATCGCTCGAGGGCTGCTGTTGCTCGCGCCCTGCCTTCCTGCGCTTCGAGCCGCGCCCCCGAGCTGGTTGCCTCTCCTCCGCGCCTCTTCCCGCTTCTTCTTGTTTCTCCTCCACTTCCGTCACATGGGTGTGGTGAAACTCATTGTTGGCCGCGCTCCTGCTGGTGCTCTCCGACGCGCTAGGGTCGGCCCTTGCTCCAGGCAGGTCGCCGTCCCCGCCGCTGCCGCCGCCTCCGTTCCCATCCACTCCGTCCACCCCGCCCTTCCCGTCGCCGTCGCTTTCGGTACCCTTTTCCTTCCTTTTGCCGCGCTTGTCGCTCTTTTCAATGCGATATGAACCGGCGCCGCCGCGGCTATCATCAACACCCTCGGGCGCCCACATGCTGCTAACCCGCTCCACCACGCTACGCCCCCCCTCCTATGGGGCGGCTTCCTCAGCCCCAGCGACGACATCCTCTTGCTTGCGCTTACGCTTCTTCCTCTTCTTCTTCGGCACCGCTGCCGCCGCCGCACCGCCTGTGCCGCCCCCTCCCGACGCCGCTGCCGCCAGCTCGCCGGAGTTGTCAATCCGCTGTGTCGCGTGCTCGAGAGTGACGCCCCCGGCTTCATGCGGCTTGTCCCGAGGCTCCTTCAGGGACGTGCTACACCACGACGATTTCCGCGGTTTTTCTTTTTTGAGCCAGCGGTGTCGGCCGGGCTCAGCGCGTTATCCTGCAAGGGCAGCAGAGCCGGCCTGGCAGAGGCAGACGGAGGATCAAGGGATGGAACTGCGATGTCATGTGGTGGAATATCACTATAGCGAGAGGTTCCTGACAAAAATGGGAGAGGTGCGGGGAAGCGAGAGAGAGAGAGAAAAGGTGCCCGCAGTTTTCTGATTGGCCAATTTTTNAGCGAGAGGTTCCTGACAAAAATGGGAGAGGTGCGGGGAAGCGAGAGAGAGAGAGAAAAGGTGCCCGCAGTTTTCTGATTGGCCAATTTTTTTGAAAGGAAATCTCCTGTGTGCAGAAAATTTCATGGTCGACCGCTGACGTCAGCCACGGTCATGACGTCACCTCTTGAAAAAAATGATCAAATCTAAGTTCGCCGTGGACGACTGATTGGACTGATGATGACGCCAGACTTTCACGGGAATCGCTGACCACACGGACGGATACAGCCAGTCATTCGTTCACTGGACGAACGCATTTACTCCTGGCTGCAACGATCCACCCTACGCTGGGTGGTGTTGAACCCACCATCCCCGCCCTTCTTCTTGTGTTTTTTTTTGTCGCACCCACACGACGACGGACGGACTTTGGAAAAAAAGAGAGAGGCACACAGCAGCTAGCTGCTGCCAGCAGCAGCAGCTAATATTACTTCTATACACCTACACTCACTACGTACGCGTGCACATTCCTAGAACCGTGTACTTCTGCTATACCTATACGTGGTACGACTTCTACTTATCATGCTGTAGCATGTGTGTACAGCAGTACATCTTGTCGATCATGCTTGGACCGGTACGCTTCATTCGACATCTCGACGCATAGAACAATGGCCTCTGCATCCAATCTATCCGTACTATTTTTACTCCGAGTACAGCTGTTACGGCTCGGGATATTATTCATTGTTCCGCAAGTACACCCCCACAGAGGTATTGACCGCATTTTACGGAGCCTCTACGAGAGCTGTTTGGAGTCGCACTCCCCCTCCACTTCCCAAGCTACCATCTTGAGCTTACACTAAAAGAAAACTACCACAACACCCACAAGGAGGCCTTTGCTCCGACACAACAACTGCTACAACAGCCGTTACGAGGACATTCACTACTCATTGCACTCGTGCAGTCGTTCGACTGCACAAAGAGAGGTCGTGTGTGTACATAGCTGTTACGAGCGCTAAAAATGCCTCTCGTGAGTAGTAATCCCCATTCACGCACCAAAACGCGGTGCCATGAACGGGAGCTCTTGGTACTTGATGCTTTCAAACAATAGACCTTCACCGATGTAGACGAACGACTCGTTTCACAGCAGCAGCACTACTCACGCGCTCTGTGCTGACCATCGTATCAATCAACCGATCGATTTGAACCAGCCAGACGATGTGTACTGCCTGCCCCAAGAACACAGCTGATACAGAGGAGGTTCTATCAAGCGGAAGACAACCTACTTGCTGTACCTGACACCGCATTTGTTTATGAATGCCGCCGGTCGTTTACATCTCTCAGCCGTGGTAGTTTATACTATACAAATTTTCGCCGCGAATTTTTTTTTTCACAGCATCGAATTGCCTCCGTATCAATAGAAGTCCCCCGTGGGGGTCGGCTCTGTTTTGTGTTGGGCGAGCACGAGACCACTGTACTTACCCCTCACGCTCTCGTCGTTGTCTGCTCCGCCAGAGCATCCAAATCAAGATCGCATAGGAAGACTCACAGCAACCGCCCATGGATAACGGGATGTACACATTTCGTTTGAAATGTGCCTTCGATGCCGCGGTGCACCACCATGTTCGTGCGTTGTTTCCGTCAGAGACCAGACTGCCGCCCAACCAACCGACCGTAGACTTCGATGCCGTGCCGCTCATTGATGAAATTCTGCGGCCGGTTCGTAGTTTATCCTCTCCGCCGTCTATTGCATGTGTTCCTGCCTTACTTGGTAGTGAATTCGATGTCATTCAGCAATCCCCATGCTTGCACACCTCCCGCACACGCTTAAAATAGCAGAAGGGACATCCATGGCCACCTCCAGCAATCCTCGCACTCCACTCAGGGAGCCCAAGAGGAAGAGGGACACCGGCCTGGAGATCTCCGGACTGGGCCCCGACGATGATGTAAGGCCATCAGAGTGGTGTGATAGACATGCTTTCCTTCAGAGTTCAGGTCGTCCATTGTGAACGCGAGCCTAGTCACACACACCCATTCATAATCAAAATCACACGATGATACACCCTCTCCCCACCCATGCATCCGTCCGCGATCCCACAGGATTTTTGCACTCCCCCAGGGGTGACGCGAAGAGTGGCAAACACAACACCTCTCACCCCACGGTCGCCGAACGCAGCGACGTCATCATGTGGACCGAAGGTGAGAGACGATCAGTTCCCACCCGATTTACGATTTCTGACTGCGATGCCTCCCTAGCTAGCTTCATTGACGCCGTCTCCTCTATCAACATGGAGTGCGCCGACGCTGTTTCTTTCCTACCACAAGTCCGCCTTCCGTCATGGGTTACATACAGACATGATTGTGCTTTCAACATGGTTCGGACACACACGAAAATAGAATAGAAACGTTCTCGTGCAAGCAGATAGTAGGTGGGCTAAAAGTTGCGCGTTTAATTTGCAGTCTGAGTCCAGTCGAACAGAGTGACAATAAATGCGGGTGCAGGATATGGCTCTCCCATGTTGGTGAATGTCGACACTCATCCACCCCTTTGGAACTGCGACCATTTCGACAACCCGTCGCACCGCGCCATTCATCCGGGAAATCAGGGGAGAAGCGCCGTCTGAGCCTCGGTTCCGAACAGAGGGAGGAGGAGGAGGAAGAGGAAGAGGATGATGCCTGATCCCCTTGTATCCACCTTACCCCTTGGGGTTGCAACTTGGCATTTACCCGGACCGATATTCAGGGTTGGTGGGGGGTGCCGAACGGGACATCGTAAGTAGACGAATTCGCACGCATAATTCCGCTCAAACTATCCAACACGCCTCCCGAAGGGATTTCCATTTTTGATCGCTATCGCCCCCCCCCCTCACACTCTCCACACATTCCACTTAGCCGTGAATCTGACACCAAAAGAATGAACGCCGTTATTTTTGTGACTCGAAAGGGAAATGTATGCCATTAAACTTACGTAGTGTGTCTCGATGAACACATAAAAGTGTAAGTTGGGAACACCGAGAGGAACAGATGCGGAACTGATTATCACGGCCTCTACACACGACGTTGTCATACTCGTCGCGTTCCCGCCCGTCCTTGCAGACTGCCCGAGAGTCAGCGAGACCCCTTCACATCGTCGGTCCTACCCGGGCGTGACAGCTGCACTCCATGTCGGTAAGATTTGTATCCTCGTCGTGGTTTAACCCGACGAGTTGAACATCGTCGTCGCTCTGTCCCACGTGTTTTACGCTGTCCTTTTCCCTGCCACTCAACAGCCCCTCAAGTCGATGNTCGCCCCCCCCCCTCACACTCTCCACACATTCCACTTAGCCGTGAATCTGACACCAAAAGAATGAACGCCGTTATTTTTGTGACTCGAAAGGGAAATGTATGCCATTAAACTTACGTAGTGTGTCTCGATGAACACATAAAAGTGTAAGTTGGGAACACCGAGAGGAACAGATGCGGAACTGATTATCACGGCCTCTACACACGACGTTGTCATACTCGTCGCGTTCCCGCCCGTCCTTGCAGACTGCCCGAGAGTCAGCGAGACCCCTTCACATCGTCGGTCCTACCCGGGCGTGACAGCTGCACTCCATGTCGGTAAGATTTGTATCCTCGTCGTGGTTTAACCCGACGAGTTGAACATCGTCGTCGCTCTGTCCCACGTGTTTTACGCTGTCCTTTTCCCTGCCACTCAACAGCCCCTCAAGTCGATGGGGGGAAAAGAGGAAGACGCCCCCCGCGTCGAAGGGGAAGAAGCCCAAGAAATCTCGCCATGAATACAAGCCAGTGCCCTCTCAGTACGAAATGATGACGACTGCGCGCCTCTTCGGTGATGGCCACATCGCCAGGAGTAACTTCTCCTACAACCATCCTCAATTCGCGAAGGAGGCCGATACGTTCAACGGTGTGACGATCGCAGGAAAGCAAGTATGGCAACGACAACCGAGCGGGCCCTCAACTCTCCACAACAAAGTCACTATCATCGACCACTTCTCCTCGCTGGCCCCGTTCTTGGGTCCGCTGGAGAAGCTGTGTAAGCCGAGAGACTCCACCGACCGCTTGTTCCTAAAGCAACGGGCCCAGCAGTACATCACTTCCGGCCGCCGACACCGCGACGGCAAAAACGGTCTCTGGCGGATGTGCGTCACGGTTCACAACCCGGGCGCGCCGCCAGGCTTCAAGCGCCTGGAGGTTGGCGTGGCCGACGCCAGGGTTGCGAAGGGTGGCGGTGCCATCAACCCGTGGTAGCTCAAAGCCGATGGCACCCCAGACATGGAGTGTATCGACTGTCCAGCAGGGTCGTACCATACAATGGACGAGGTCGGCACCGGCACCGCGTCCCACGCACACCATCAGGAAATCATCGACAAGAACCTTCTTCGGGAGCACGGAGCGCCCACCACGTTCGTGCTCGACTTCGACCCCATCGACCCCAACACGTTCATCGACGACGTCGCACGGATCGCAGAGGGTACTGTCGACAAGGTCAAGGCCGCCGTAGGCGTGTTGGTNAGGTCGGCACCGGCACCGCGTCCCACGCACACCATCAGGAAATCATCGACAAGAACCTTCTTCGGGAGCACGGAGCGCCCACCACGTTCGTGCTCGACTTCGACCCCATCGACCCCAACACGTTCATCGACGACGTCGCACGGATCGCAGAGGGTACTGTCGACAAGGTCAAGGCCGCCGTAGGCGTGTTGGTATACGTGCGCCCTCGGACAGAAGAGCAGATCGGCAAGTCCTGTGCTTCGGAGAAAATGAGAGCCTACAAGCAACGGGAAGGGGACGACCCGGACGGCTGTAAGAAGAGCAGGCTAGGGTAGGTGACTGAAGTCATGGAAACACTCCAATCCCGTGGTGTTCATTCGGTCGGTGAAAACAATGTGTTTTCATTGGTATTCAGTCTTGTTTCTAAGTAGTCAACGGTGCGAGGCCGAGACATTTTTTAACATCACTCGGAAATGTTTACCCATGACCCCGGCTTTATGCTTACGAAAAATGCGCGTGTTGTTTTTGAATGAATGAATTCAATGAATGAAGTTGTGCTTGTGCGTTATCATGTGTATGATTTCCCATTCGTTGGCGTAACCGCCCCCTTTTTGGTCGAACGACGTAGATCGTTGAAAACTGAGATCTACGCGTCGGTATTCGTGCGACAAATTCAGACCTGGAGGCATCACTCCTTCCTATCCTTCCTACCATGCTCACAACGATTGAATGGCCCGAACATTTCCTCGGGCGGCTTATCGTTGCCTCTGTTGTTGTTGTTGTTGTTGTTATTGACGACGATTGTCAGGCCAAGAGGCATCACGCCTTCCTACCATGCTCACAACGATTGAATGGCGCAAACGTTTCCCAGCGTATGCTCATCGTTTTCAGTGAAATTTCTCCCCCCCTCGGTGTTTGCCATCGGGGTTGGGCTTTCGTCGCTTGGCAACAACGTTGTAAAACAAGCCAATTCACTTCGTGAACCCGGCAACCAGGTTACCGATTTTTATTTTTTTACCTCCGTTTTTTTTTTTTTTCGGCGGTAACCATAATGGTGGTCGAGTAGATCATGTTGTGCGGGGTGGAGAATCCTCGCTCCGCGCAAGGGGGATGATCGCACCATGTTGTGTTAAAATGGTCAAGCACCCTCGAGGCAGTTACACAGTGCTTACAACTGTCTCTGGAAGTGAAAGCACCAGAAA